CTTATGCTACACAACGTGGAACTCATTTATTCTCCAAGCTTTTGCCTCATCATTCTCGGTACAACTAGCTGTCTTTACGGCTGCTGCTGCATCTGCTCTAGGTTTTTCAGTTTATGTGCTACTCAACTGGTTCAAAAATGACAGATGACTTGAGAACAACAGACAATTAGATGGGTTTTGAAGTATTTCACTCATATTTGTTTGAGCTCTGTATAGCAATCAACATTACCACCTGTGTTCTGTTTCTTTGTCACAAAACAGTAACCTTTTTAAAGTATAGTTTACAGCGCTTAAGATGGACAACGGCTCTGCTTTAGCTTAAACCTTTATTCATAGATGCTTAAGTTGTCAGGACCCGCCTTACATAGGCCTACTTGCTGCACATGCCCCTCGTGACATCCATATTAAGAAAACAAGCACACTAAGCAGATCAGAGTTATCAGAAACATAACCATTACATTACATAAAGGCAACACAGTTATCAGAAGAATCACCAGCACGACTAAGATACGAAACCAATAGAAGCAGTGGCCTAACAGCAATCTCTATATGAGCATGTGAAAGCCAAAGGTCATCCTCAAACAACAGCACGAGAAATGTCTGTTGATCCAAAACAATTTATAAGAGAAAAATAATCAGAAGAAAAGGTTACAACTTCTTCTTGAAGTAGCAAGTAAACTTTATTGGAGAAACAGGAAATGAACTTTGTCATTCTTTTACAAATCCAACAAGGCAGCGCAAAAGTAAAGGCTCTCAAGCTGCTTTGGGTAGATTCTCACTGAATAGTGAGTCATATTCTGCATCACGAGCGTTCTTCTTGTAAAGAAGCTTCTTGAAGTCAGTCTCGTCCAAGCTCTTCGCGTTTTCTGCAGCGTGAACTTGAGCTAACTTGGAGTAATCCACAGCGGAACTGGAGAAGAAGGCCCTTTCTTCTTCAGTCACCTTCCTCAGAAATCTAGCAGGATTCCCTCCCCAAACCTGTGTTAGAGAAAGCAGGGGAGGATTGAGAGACTTCACGAAGAGCAAACAACAACAAAATTGTGAGATAAAAAAAAAAAGGAACCTCGCCGGAGGGAATTCGAGTGTTCTGCCTGACAAGAGCTCCAGAGTCAACGATGGCATGTTTTTCAACATGAGCACCATCCAAGACGGTAGCACTAGGACCGATGTAGGCCTCGTCGTCGACAGTGCAGCCATGTAAAACAGCACTATTGCCAACAGTGACATTGTCACCAATGAGAGTGGGTAAGACCTTGCCGCTTAAGTTGGACTTGGCAACGTGGACGAGGGTGTTGTCTTGGATATTGGTACCAGCTCCGACACTGATGCTGTTAGCATCTCCTGCACAATTAAAATAAAGGCATCAAAGAAAAGAAAAGAAAAGAGAGAGAGAGACAGTAGTGTCTTTGTTTATTTTTACCTCTCAAGACGCATCCATACCAAATGGAAGAGCCAGGTCCGACATTGACATTACCAATGATAGAAGCACTAGGAGCCACGAAAGCGTCCTTATCGACAATAGGGGATTTGTCAAAAACATTCATCAGCGTGCGGTGCCTGGAGACTGGAAAGTGGAAACAGCAACAACAAGACAGAGTTTGGGACTTAAAAAGCCATTTGGACTTTATAATCTTAAAAAGGTCAATCAATCGAAATCGGATCTTGACCAGTTAAACATAAAGAAATGAATCACATCACCAAAGAGGTACAAATTCCAGAGAAATATCTAAAACATTACGATACGAAGAAAGATCCAAGACATACGTTGTTCACGGAAGTGATTTTTGCCTTGGAGGCGACAACCGAGACGATCAAGTGCTTGACCCGTTTCCCGGATCCAGAATCCGACACTGTACAATGCTCTCCCCATACTTGACATCCTATCAAAGTCCGAATTAGAGACGGTTTTCGCCTGCCCCAACTTATGAGGAGGAAGAAGACTAGTCTTTCGCTGGTTCTGTACTCAATTTCCGGTTCATTAGCCGGTTTGTGTTGCTGCTGTCTCATGTGTAGATACCCGACTATTCATTTTTTTTTTTTTTATCTCACTTCAACTAATTTAACTATTCGTAATTATGGTGAAATGTTACTCTCCTTCAATCACACACATCTTTACATTTTTCACATCCACAAAACTGGCCTATTATCAAGAAGCATTTCAGAAATGGCAATTTGCACTTGGTGGTGATTTTTTTGACCAAAACTTTTATTGCTCAACTCAATGGATACGTTCCACGAATATAACAACGGTTAAAATAGTACAATTGTTTTCAACTTCTGCTGAGAAGCTGTGTTACTTTACATCCCCAAGCTGACAGTTCAGATATGACAAGCACGATCAGTTTAATACTCACTCTTTTTGTCTATAACTCTATATGTAAAGCTTGGTGTAAAAGAGTAAAGACTTGCTTACTGACATACCTTTGCGTTTTCCACGTACACAGTTACTCTGTAACAAGTCCTGAATATGCGTGTTTTCCAATCACAACTCCATAACAATTTCTTAATCAAAGCATCAAGCCACAAAAGTGTTTTGATAAATCATACTTTGTGATTATTTGATCGCCATTATCAAAACTGCAATTCATTTAGACGCAATCCGCAAATCCATCTTTAACGTTCATTTTACCCCCTTCTGAATAATCTTTTTTATACATTACAGAATATCCAAGAACCAAAAGAAGAAAAACGCTAGAGGGAGGGGTCGAACCTCCGACCTTGTGGTTAACAGCCACACGCTCTAACCAACTGAGCTACTCCAGCTTCTTGAAAGTGCATTTATTTAAAGCAAATTCAAATTAAAAGAACAAATCAGTTATAAATGTTCAGAATAAGAATGCTACTATTGTTTTCTTCCTCATGCATGCAGGATACTAGGCTGGTCGACACGATTAGTTAGCTTAGCTATAAGCCTATAACCCCCAACAAAAACGTTTTAATTGTATTCAGCATGTTCAAGAAAGTTAACATTTCTAATTTTCCCTTTCTGAAAAAGGTAACTGAATAATACGTTGCAGTCAAAGCTTTCAGTAATGTAAAACTAAAGAATGAAAATGGAAAACAAGACTAAAAAGTAATATTAGAGGTTTCAGCTTTGTTCCAAAAAAAAAAAGAGGTTTCAGCTAAATTTCCAATTAATTAACTTCAATGGCATGTTGTTAAGATATAAATATACAGATGATCTCTTTGGTTAGATTGCTCTCATTATAATTCAAGAGTAAAGAGAAACGACGAAACAAAAGCAATAATGTGGCCAAGATCAAAAAGTGAAGCTGCCAAGAGATTTGCTCCTATTTTGGAGAAGGAAACAGCGAATACAAGTGACACGGCATGGCTTCGTTACACAGAGACAATGCATCAAATCACAACGTTGATTACTGGATTTGAGCTTAACAAGGAACAAGCCGAGGAGCTGAAGAGAAATATGTCGGGGGAAACCTCTACGCAACTAAGCCGGGAGTCAGTGTGCCAACTCAAGGCAATGGACGTGAGAACAGATGAGTGGTGCACCGTGACGCTTATTGAGAAATCAGAAGACAGGTTGATCTTGGACTGGACCCATTGCACCGGCTGTGAGATTGGGAAGACGATTGACTTTGATTTCAGTAATAGTTTTTGGAAGGATAATGATCACTCCGGATGTGACAGAGTATTTTATGGAACGAGATAGTCTGGTAGTAACTAGAAGAATATCAATCATACCACCACTAATTAGGTTTGGTTGCTAGCTATGAAAAATATATTATATGCTTTTATTTTAATTTTATGTAAGGATAAACTTATGCTAATTATAAACTATGCTTTATTTTATTTAATATACGGAGAACCAATATGTTGTCTTAAGGCTTTTGGATTATTTCTTTTCTTTCTAGCATTAGACAAGGTTAGAAGAGATTGTTGGATATTGAGATTTGTTAAAAGCTTTAGTCGAGAGTTCTTTTAAAGTAAGATAAAAAAGAAGATAACTACCTTCGATTATCAATATCGAAGGCCCATTAGCTCAGTTGGTTAGAGCGTCGTGCTAATAACGCGAAGGTCGCAGGTTCGAAACCTGCATGGGCCACTTAATTTTTTTTTTGTTTTTTTAAACATTAGCAACAGTTATACATGTCAGCATGACCCTGGGTGAGACAGTATCCATATCTCCACTTAGAATTACGACACGTGGCAAGAGAAGAAACCAGTAACTCCGATTCCCACAAAACAAACCAATCAAAATGCTCGCCTTATCCCCATCTTATCTCTCTCTCCTAACCATTATTACTCTTTTAGACAAACCATAACCATTTTGAGTAGGACACAGTTTGTTGCCATGGCAGCCTCTCTCCAATCCGCCTCCGCCACATTCCTCCAGTCCGCCAAATTCTCCACCGCTCCTACTCGCGGCAGTGCTCAACTCCGGTCGACTCAGACAGTCGGCAAATCTTTCGGGCTAGAAACTTCCTCTGCACGCCTCACTTGTTCCTTCCAATCTGACTTCAAGGACTTGGCCGGCAAATGCTCCGACGCTGTCAAAATCGCCGGGTTCGCTCTTGCAACCTCTGCTCTCGTCGTCTCGGTAACTTTCCTTCTTTTATCACCGATTCCTCTAATATAGTTTATTATAAACAAAACGGAGAAGGAGAAGAAGTAGACTTTTATTTAGTGTGTGTTTGATAAAATGATTCATTTGTATGTATCGAACTTGTCACGTTCAAAGTATATAACAATAAACGAAACCATTATCACGTTGATAAAATGCGTTGTTAACCTATATATTCACAATCTTCGTGTACATGCAATCATTACTTAGTACCCAACTTGTAAATGATATGCTTTTACGTTTTGGGATTCATTTGTCGAAACTAAAATAATGCATCATCTTTTGTGGTTTGTTAATAAAAGGGAGCAAGTGCAGAGGGAGCTCCGAAGAGACTCACTTACGACGAGATACAGAGCAAGACATACATGGAAGTGAAGGGAACTGGAACTGCCAACCAGTGTCCAACTATTGACGGTGGCTCTGAGACTTTCTCCTTCAAACCGGGAAAGTACGCTGGCAAGAAGTTCTGCTTCGAGCCTACTTCCTTCACCGTCAAGGCTGAGAGTGTTAGCAAGAACGCTCCTCCTGACTTCCAGAACACCAAGCTCATGACCCGTCTCACCTACACTCTTGACGAGATCGAAGGCCCCTTCGAGGTTTTTATTTTTACTTCCACCGCAAGAAACAGCCTGTTTCAGCCTTCACGTTAGGGTTGATTACTGATAGAGTCTTTTCATTGGTTTTTGAGCAGGTGTCTTCAGACGGAAGCGTGAACTTCAAGGAAGAAGACGGCATCGACTACGCTGCAGTCACTGTCCAGCTTCCAGGAGGCGAGCGTGTGCCATTCCTATTCACCGTCAAGCAGCTTGACGCCTCAGGCAAACCAGACAACTTCACTGGCAAATTCTTAGTCCCGTCATACCGTGGCTCGTCCTTCTTGGACCCAAAAGGACGTGGTGGATCCACAGGATATGACAACGCCGTTGCATTGCCAGCTGGAGGCAGAGGAGACGAAGAGGAACTCTCAAAGGAGAACGTGAAGAACACGGCAGCTTCGGTGGGAGAGATCACTTTGAAAGTGACCAAGAGCAAACCTGAGACAGGAGAAGTGATCGGAGTGTTTGAGAGTCTTCAGCCCTCGGATACTGACTTGGGAGCCAAGGTACCAAAGGATGTGAAGATCCAAGGGGTGTGGTATGGTCAACTTGAGTGATTGATTATGTTAATCTATAAATATCAGAACATCTTCTGTTTTTATTTTGATGATAATTAATGAGTACATCTTTTGATGTTTCTTCTTTTTCTATTATAAAAGAAAATGCACATGCCCTAAACAATATTAGTGATTTGATCTGATCTGATCGATGGATGGATGTTTTAAGATTGCATTATAACACGACTGTTGCATGATCGAACATGTACACAACAAGCTGCATGTGAAAGAAGTCACAGACAACATCAAACATCTAGAAGATAACAAAATGTGACCCTAGATGTAAAACACTCTTATTATAATGAGAGCATAGACGACTATTCTTTTTAATATATTTACGATAATTTTTATCTGGCAGCTTGTTTAAGAATAAGATATCTCAATGTAAAGCTTGGTTCTCAAGATACGTGAGATCGCTCAAAACTTACCTAAAACTTCAGACCTCTTTAATCTTCGTAATGTTTCTATGCAGTAAAACAAAAATATCAATTTTTTCTAACTTATCTTGAAATATGTGGGCTGACCCCTACAAAAAGATCGAGTTTTTCGAAAAAGGCTATAAATTGAGTTTAGGTTCTTTGTTGTAAATTAAAAAATACCAAATCAGGTTAAAAATTAATATTAATGTATTTTAAATTTTATTTTCATGGTACAAGAAAATCTTTTTGAAAGAGTAATTATTTTAACTTCATATACCACTTAATCACTGGACTAATCCAAATAAAAAATTATTTTTTGGAGAAAAAAGAACACCTAAGGTCTCAAACCTCTTTAATATTCATACTATGTCAGTGCATGATGTTTCTATGCAGTAAAACAAAAATATCATTTTTTCTAATTTATCTTGAAATATGTGGGGTAACCCCTACGAAAAGATCGAGTTTTTCCATAAAGGTTAAAAATTGAAGTTAAGGCTCTTGATTGTTGATCAAAATTATCAAATCAGATAATAAATTTAATTTAATTTATTTTAAAATTATTTACATCGTACAATATCATCGTTCTAAACTTTTGAACGAGTAATTAATTTTAACTTCATATACCTCTTAAAAAATGGACTAAGCCCAATAAAAATTTATTTTTTTGGAGAAACGGGAACACCGAAGGTCTCAAACCTCTTTAATTTTCATACTATGTCTGTGCATGATGCTTCTATGCAGTAAAACAAAAATATCAATTTTTC